CGCGGAGGAGGAGTTCTATTCGCGATAGGATTTTGCTTGGGCGAGGTCGGCCGATTTTGGGCTCGGGCATTCACGCGTGGAGGTCTGTTCGAAGTGTTTACTCTCTTTCATCGTCGACTTATCGCAACGAAGAGAGTGGGGGACTCATGATAGATATAATGATATATTATGACCGGAGCAAACCAAATCGACCCAGAAAAGTGGAGCAAGACCCGGGGCCCCTGAGGATGAGCCCCGTGCTTGGCCCAATAGGCCTCAGCCCGTGAGGCCTCGGCTGGGATAGGTACTGACCCCGAAGGAGTCCGGTATAAACGAGCTCGGCCAGAAAAAGAGCCGAGCGAGGAGCCGGTCAACCGAAAGACCCGGCGGGACTCGGGCCCCGGGCTCGGTCAACGCGGATCTAACTGACCCCGCTATTCTAGGGGGCGGTTAAGGTGCATAACCTGTATAAATACCGTTCATGTTGAACTAACAAGAAATCTTCATCTTTATTGTCCAAATCAACCATTGTAATAGCGTGTTTACCATCATTTAATACAATATACGGTCTCCGCGACCTTACGATATCCTTTTGCCTATTTATCTATATACGTTCTTTACCGGGTTTAGTAATTCGGGTCCACCCCGGGTAATTAAATCCATCAGCCTCATCCAAGTAGATAGACAACACAATATCACAACCAGTAATATTCTCTTCTTTTATCTTCTTCCATCCCCAAACATCTCTGCAAATTACTGTCTGACCACAACAGAACCCCGGCAAAAATTATTTGTTTTTGCCCGACTTGCAGTGGTTTGTAGATAGTGAATTATGAGCAATCACATAGACAACTTGGGCCTCCCTTTGTTTACAGAAGTTGCTTGATACTGTTGACAATAAAAAGTAACAACCCATAAATCCAGTGGTGGTTGTCGAGTTGATTGGTCTGAAGGTTAATTTGATCTGGTAAGCTGCTTGATTTTAAGTTTAAATTCTTTGGACATGTTATGTTACATAATAATAGATGAATGAGAACTTGGTCAGTATCACCACATAGAATGAAACAGACAATCACACCAATTGGAAAAAAATCAGTACCATCTGAAACTAACCACCACAAATCACCATAAATTGATTTGCCATCAAAGCCACCAAATAATAAAAACTGTGATCCAATGGATGTGATTGAATGGTATGCTCGAGTATAGGGTTTTTAGGATCTTTGGATTCTTTACGGATTTAATGTATTGGTAATTCGTGGAATTAGCTTGTTTAATGTTGGTTATTTTTATAAAGTGTGTTGATTAAGTTCTTTACATTGATCATATATCGAATATGTTTCTTTTTGGTTGATAGTAATTTAGTATTTCCTTTTTTTTTGGATACTTGAAGGAATATATGTTTATTGTTTCTGGTGGTGATTGATAATTGTGTATTGCTATCTGGAAATCTTCTTTGCTCTGGTCAAAATTGAGTTATGGTACCTATACCCATGCTTTTGGATATAGAATCTCTCTGTGCTACATTAATCTCGTCTATAGATACGAGGAAGCAAAATCAAAGGGTGTTGATAACTATGATAGGGACCTGGAGGATGTTATCGACAGTCTGATTGTTGAGTGTGATAGGAAAATAACCAAATCCCTCAAATGGTTGGATGAAAAGGTAGGATGCCAAAGTTGTCATGCCAAAGTTATCGACAAGTTGATTGTTACCTAAGCACATTTTAGCATTCATAGTGTCATCTCTCTTTTCTATACAGTCTGCTTATTTCTTTCTTTATGTGTTATCAAAATTGATGTTGCAGACAGAAGAGGTTCTTGAACTGTCAAAGAAAATTAAGCAAAATTTGAAAGAAGCTGATCAATATGGTATTATTTCGTCCGCCTCCTGAACTGCCTGAGCCACGCCCCTGTCCGGCGTACAATGCAGTGTGAGCCACGCCACTGTCCAGGGAGGGATAGTCATCAACTAATATAAATTCATGTGCCTGCAAATAGTCAGACAAATGAGATATAGAAACCGGATTTCCGGTGGCTGTCAGCGCGGTGGCAAGAGGTTTCAGTTCCGGACGCAGCCCATGTATGATGTACAGATTCTGTTCCATCAGTGTTAACGGCCGGCCGGCCTGAAGCAACGCCTCTACGAGAACGCCGGCGCGCCCGAGATAGTCCGCCGTGGTCGCGTTCCCCTGCCGGAGCATCTGGAATTGCGACAGTAAGTTGAGGCATCTCGCCTGGCTTGAAGAACCCAGCGCGCCGGTGATGGAGGACCATATCTCAGCTGCCGTATTCCGTCCAAGCGCAAGGTTCAGTGTCTCATCCGCCATTGATGAGACCAAGAGAGAGATGATGGTCTGGTCTTGTTTCACCCAGGCCTTGTAGGCCGGATTTGGAGTGACCGGAACAGCATGGCTGGATGAGGCGTCATCGGAGGCCGGTGTGCCGGCAATCTGCTCCGGCGGATAAGGGCGGGTGCCGTCGACGAAGCCCATGAGCTCCTGGCCTCGGAGGAAAGACACGATTTGCATGCGCCAAAAGAGATAATTCTTTAGCGTAAGCTTCATCGTGACATAGTGGTGAGCCCCGGCGAGGGAACCGCCGGCTGCCGGAGCTCCGCCGTCTGTGGCTGTGCGATCTGAGCCGGTTGACATGGCCGATTGGAGTGCGGGAAGGGAGGGGGAATTTTGTGGTAGAGGTGAGAGCGATCGAAAAATCCTAGTTTGATACCAGATTGGAAAAGGAATTTCGTTAACAATCGTAACAACAGGATTACAGAGTATATCTTAACTAATCCTATCAAATAGCTAAACTAAGTCAAGCTATCTAAGCCACATAATATAAACATATAAAAGAAATAATAATAATAATAACTTATACTAACAGTCTGCTTATTTCTTTCTTTATGTATTATCAAAATTGATGTTGCAGACAGAAGAGGTTCTTGAACTGTCAAAGAAAATTAAGCAAAATTTGAAAGAAGCTGATCAATATGGTATTATTTTAAAGAATTTTCTCAAAATTTTGTTCATTATATCTCAACTACTAAATATTAGCAGTGTCCCTATTATATGAAAAGGTGTTTCCTGAGCTACATGCCTCTATTATTTATGCAGATCTTGAAGGCAAGACAGATGAAAATCTGTTTTCTTAAAGAGGTTGAAGAACTCAGAACCAAGAGAGTTGACAAATAGGTGCTTAGTACATAAAGAACATAGACCAAATAAGTTAAAAGAACATGTTTTAATTTGTAATTTTGCTTGCTGTAACTATTCACATTTCCTGACAAACAATGCTTCTTTTGGATGCCTTTAACAAAACTCTCCACATTTAGCATCTTTGCCTGCTTCTGCCGCAGATCCTCGCATACAGGAAATGATAAATGAGAAACTAAAGAAAGCAGAAGATCTTGGTAGGTCAATTCTTTAATTGTCTACTAATTGGAAGTTTTGGACTATCTTAACATTTTATTTTTTTTATTTTATTTTTATTTTTTTTTCTTGGAAACTTCTTCAATTCGTTATATGATGAAGATTAACGAAGTGAACAGAGATGAGACATGAGAGCTTTTGGATGGTAGGATTGAAACTGAATTGATTGATCTGTTTAGCGAGAGATTACATAAGCTATATACAAACTAAGAAGAGGCGCCAAAGGCCGTTACAACCAACTTAGTAACAAAGACCAATCTACCCCTAGGGGGATTCCCCATACTGCCCTTCTACTTCATGCTCTAATACCCCCCGTAAGTTGGAGAATGTAGATTCTGGATGCCCAGCTTAGACACATACTGCCGGAACATCTGATAGGCAAGGGGCTTGGTGAATCCATCGGCCACTTGGTTTGTAGATGAAACAGGTAAGAGTTTTCAGTTTTATGAGCCCTTGGCTTATCTTTTCTCGAACGACATGACAATCGATATCAATGTGTTTGGTACGCTCATGGAAGACGTGATTCTCAGCAATGAATATTGCCGAATTGCTATCACAAAATAATGTGGCTGGTTTGTTCATTTCAACATACATGTCATGGAGAAGATAGACGAGCCATTGTATTTCGCAGACTGTGGCGGCTAAGGCTCTGTATTCGGCCTCGAATGAAGATCTTGATACTGTTACTTGCTTTTTGGACCTCCACGACACAAGTGCATCTCCCAAAAACATACAACACCCAGTGATGGATTTCCAAGTTTCACAACAAGCTGCCCAATCCGAGTCTGAGAAGACTTTGAGTTAAAGCTGAGTGGCTGCCAGATATATAGGGCTTTGTCCAGGTGATTGTTTAATATAACGTAGTATGCGATGGGTAGCAATCAGGTGCTTGTCCATGGGGGAATCAACGAACTAACTGAGTTGCTGAATAGAGTATGCCAATGTCCGGTCTTGTGGCCGTGAGATATAACATCCTCCCCACCAACCTTCTGTAAGTGCTAGGATCTGCCAAAGGTGTGCCATCATCATGAGGTAACTTCAGACCTTGAACCATGGGAGTGTTCACTGGCTTGCATTCGAGAAATCCAGCCTCTTCTAGAATGTCTAAGGCGTATTTGTGTTGACACAAATTCATGCCACCATCCGCTTTGCGTGCTTCAATCCCCAGAAAATAGCCTAGAGGCCCTAGATATTTGATTTTGAATTTGTCATCCAAGAACTTTTTGACAGAGTTGATAACATGAATGCTAGCACTGGCAGCAATAATATCATCAACGTAGACTAATAAGGCAATGAAGTTGTCATCCATACCTCTAGTAAACAAAGATGGTTCTGACTTGGATTGGTGAAAGCCAATTTGTATTAGAGCAGCAGTCAATTTGGCATTCCACTGACGACTTGCTTGCTTCAACCCGTATAGAGAACGTAGGAGTTTGCAAACTTGATTTGGCTTTTCATTGTGAAATCTAGGAGGTAAGACCATATACACTTCTTCATTTAAATAACCATGTAAGAACGCATTATTGATGTCCATTTGATGAATCTCCCAAGCCTTAGAAACTGCCACTGCCAAGAAAACTCGAATGGTGGTTAATCTTGCCACTGGGAGAACGTGTCACGATCGTCTACACCAAGCTGTTGTGTGTGGCCTTTTGCTACGATTCTTGCCTTGTGTCTTTCTATTGTGCCATCAGCTTTCATTTTAACTTTGAAAATCCATTTACAACCTATGGGTATTTTTCCCGGGGGCAAATCAGTTAGCTCCCATGTCTGATTGTTCTGGAGGGCTGTGATTTCAACATCCATGGCTTTCTTCCAACACTCGTGTTGTATGGCTTGATTGTATGTTCTTGGTTCCTTGATTGCTGAAACTGCCATAGAAAAAATCTTGTGCGAAGGACTAAGATTGACATAGGATATTACCTTCGATATAGAGTGGGGAGAGGTTCTGTTACTCATAGTAGCATCACAGTAATAATCTTGCAGCTTAGGTGGTGCATTGCGTAGCCTACTTGACCTTCTGGGCTGTATGGGAAGATTAGTTGTGTTTGTTTCCCCATTGCATTCTTCATTATGAGCTGCATGCGATGAGGACTCACTGTTGGCATTGCTGATTTCATCATAATTATGCACTGGTTCAGGCATTGATGCATCATGATTGTGGGATGGAGTTGTGGGTACTGGTTCATCATGAGTTGTGTCTTCTCCCATGTTGTGAGGCGAACTCATGTCATTATTGTTATAAGCACCTTCCATGAATTCATTGTGAGTGTGGTTGGGGATTTGAATATTGAACTCCTCATAGCAAGTGATGGGGATGTTTGGCAGAGACGGATTAGCCATCTGGTTGACATGATCTGCTTTATGGTGGACTTGATCAGCTAAGGGAAAATGATCTTCATAGAAGATTACATCCCTAGAAATAAAAGTGGAATTGTCTTGCATGTCATATAAAAAGGTATCCTTTGACATTAGCCGGAATCCCAACAAATATACAATGTCTGCTATGAGATGCCATCTTATGCCTGGAATGAGGGAGGGTGGCAGCGTAGCTTAGACAACCAAAGACCCTCACATTGTCAAGATTAGGTTCCTTTCCATTCAACCTCTGATAGGGCCTCAGCTATGCAGTAACGGAAGAGGGGAGGCGGTTTATGATGAACACATCATATAGAACACATAATCCCAAGAACTTAAGAGGCAGATTAGCCTGGAATCTAAGAGCACGAGCCACGCTTAGAATGTGCTGGTGTTTGTGTTCAACCACCGTGTTTTGTTGAGGTGTATTTACACATGACGTTTGATGAACCATACCATTCTCAGCAAAAAAAATCTGTCATATTGAATTCCAAGCCATTATCACTTCGAAGGATTTTTATGGCTATTCCATATTGAGTTTGGATCTGTTTGTGGAAATTCTTGATCATGCCTCTCATTTCAGATTTCACTTCATGAGGTGAATCCAGGTGTACCTTGAGTAGTCGTTTACAATCGTCAAGAAATACCTTTCTCCTCCCAAGGAACCATTAATGGACCCCAAATGTCAACATGGATTAGATCAAAACATCCATTTGACACAGTGCTGCTCAAGGAAAAATGAGCTCATTTTTGCTTTGCATAATGACATACATCACATGGCAAGTTCTTAGGATAAAAAGTGGATATATTCTTTATGTAATGGATTTTATTAATGGGAAAATGACCCAAGTGTTTGTGCCAAAGTTCAGCACTGCCATATTTCAAAACAGAATTGTTACAAGAGTTAATCTCTGGTGGTTGATGCAGCAGGTACATACCTTCTGCCTCTCTAGCAAAACCAGTGATCTTCCCAGCTTTCTAAAGCAGGCTCTGGCCAGAATTAAATGTCAAAGTGTGAGAAGAGTCTTGGAGCAATTTACTAACAGATACAATGTTGAATCTAAACTCTGGAATATGTAAGGCATTCTTCAACCATAGACCCTCTGCCAGTTTGATGTCTCCCCTATGTTGAACTATGACTCTCTCTCCATTAGGCAAATTCAAAGTTGCACCCTCAACAACATGACAATCATTAAAGAAATCACGAGAGAAAACTATATGGTCAGTGGCTCCCGAGTCTAATATCTAGGTAGATGAATAGAGATTAACAGAATTTATATGAGGTAGTATGTTAAACTTGCCTTCATTTTGTGTCTCAAATTTGTTGAAGTTGGGGATCAGAGACACGACTGCAGTCATGGAGGTCTGTTGTTGACCTACTTATGTTTGCAAGAGGGATATGGGCTTCTGTAATTGATCGGAGGTCACTGTGTTCTCCAAGCTCGCAGCGGCTGCCATCACTAGCTGTTTTCCTTTGGATTTGTAGCTCGGTATCCACCTCGGTGGATATCCGTGCTTCTTATAGCACTTCTCCACGGTGTGTCCAACCATCCCGCAATATGTGCATTTGGCATTCTTATTTCCACCACCAGAGTTCATGTTATTCTTGCCGTTGTAATAGTTCACCGCTGCAACTACTTCTTCGGCAGAGTTTTGATCATTTTGAACAGCGTTTGCATGATTGATCTGCAAGCTCAAGTTTGTGACACTGAGTTGTCTCTCGAATTTCTCCGCCATAACGAACACTTTGTTCATTTCAGGTACCGTTCGAGAACAAGAACAATAGATTTGAGTGACTTATAATCGTCACTCAATCCCTGCAGAAAACATATGATCTGATCTATTTCACGATCCTTCCTGACTTCATCGATGAGATCGCAGGAACATCGTGGATTGCATTTGCAAATTGGAAGGGGGCGCAACTCGTTCATCTCCTCCCAGAGTGTTCTGCACTTTGTGTAGTACTCGTTCACGGAGAGACTTCCTTGCTTTAGGCTGTAGATTTCGTTTTGCAGGATTGATATGTGATGCGGATCACGTTGTGAGAACTGCTTTTTGAGATCATTCCAGATGTCCTTCGCGATGTCCATGTACATCACTCTCTGCGCAATTAACGGATGAACAGCTTTGAGAATCCAGGATTTGATCATCAAATTGCATCTTCTCCACGCAGCGTAATTGTTTTGAGCTCTGTCCGGCATTTGCATGCTACCGTCGATGAGCGACCACTTATTTTTCACCCCCAACGCAACTTGCATGGAGATGCTCCATGAACTGTAGTTTAGGCTGCAGTGAGGGGAGGACTAACGAGAACATTGTTCGGATTCTCGTTGGTGTTGAGATATAAGGGATTCTCAATGTCTTCAACTTGGTTCCGCTGCGAAACGACGTAAGGAGTAGTATTGACTAGAGGCTGATTCATCGGCGGAGGCGGATTTGCTGGTTAACTTGTTTCTCCGGTGCCGGTAACTGCTCCGCCGTAAGTTGTTCTCCATGGCTCTGATACCATGATGAAGATTAACGAAGTGAACAGAGATGAGACATGAGAGCTTTTAGATGGTAGGATTGAAACTGAATTGATTGATCTGTTTAGCGAGAGATTACAAAGGTTATATACAAACTAAGAAGAGGCGCCAAAGGCCGTTACAACCAACTTAGTAACAAAGACCAATCTACCCCTAAGGGGATTCCCAGACTGCCCTTCTACTTCATGCTCTAATATTATATGTACTCTAAGAAAGAAGATGCTAAAGCTCATTTACTTTGTTTATTTAATTATTTTTGGTTTTCATCACAGTTTTCTCTTTTGGGTCATTCAATTACATGAACACATAAAATCCTTTTTCCCTCACTCTTTCTCTTGTGGTGGAAAGAATGCACTGAATTTCTCTGGTTAAGTTGTAACCTACTAATCTTATGATATTTGGAGTTTTTCATGACCATTTCGTGCTTGGTTTGCATTAGTTTTATCTTTCCTATGATCGTCGTTTAGCTGACCATTTCGGAGTAAAGCTTCACTTAGGTTATATGCAAATTCGAGAGAAGTAGGCATACCTTCAGGTATACACACAAATCTTAATTTTCGATCTCCTCATTTTGTTATCAGTGAAACACATTTATCAAGTGTAAATAAATACTTTGTACTTGTAATTAGTTCAACGGTGTGATTGAAAAAATGTCAAACACCCTGTTTCCATGCCTTATCCTGGAATATGAAAACTTCATAATTAGCTTTTATGCCAAAATTTGTAGTGTTTTACATAGGTTCTTTTGTATGTAGCATTTACCTTAAGTTTGTAATCTGAATATTTCGGTTCAGGTGATGCTATAATGTATCACTTTCTTCTATAGAGATTCTCAGTTTATATGACCTCTGTGAGCAGGGACGGGGCCAAATGGGGCATGGGGGCCTCACCCCACCCCACCCCATATATAATCTTTGTATGTATATATGTATATATAGTACAAGTTTTAGTATTAGTATCAAAAACTATTAAATGTTAATAAGAAATGAGTTAGATTAGTTGACAGAGTACATGTTTGGTAATAGTAAAAGTTAAGGGTTTGAATCCTTTGGCATCAATATAGTTTTACAGTTTTTTTGACTCCTTTCCATATGGCTTCAACACAGTCACGTTTTTAATAGTTTTTTTAATATTTAACACACACACACACACACACACATATACATAACATTTTTTATATTAATAATGAGATGTGTAATTTATAATGTGTTTTCTACTCAAATTATTTTATCAAATTAATTATGTTTCATATTTTGTTATGAATATTTTTATAAAGTTTTGATGTGTTTTATTTTTCACCCATATCCTTTTTAAATTATCTCTTTTGTTTTAATGTTTTGCTGGAAAAATTTTCTGAATCTGTCCGTACTTCTTCGCCCCCCTCAATCGAATTTCTGGCTCCGTCCCTGTCTGTGAGTTTTTCAATCCCCAGATAAAAATGTGTAGTTTTCAACATTCAATAACTCATGCATGAACATCTCCTATATAATCTTGCATTAATATATTTTAAAGTATTTATTCAAAAATAAACATTAGGCATTCAACATTCAATAACTCAACACCTCCTATATAATATTACATTGATATACTTTGAAGTAATTTAAAAATAAATATTGGGATGTTTGAGTATTATCTCATTCACACAATGCGCTTGAAAAACTAGTATATATATAAAAGGAAACCTACGCATGCTTGGTTTTAAGATAAATACACATAAATTTTTACTTGTACTCCGTATTATTTTTGACAAATATGCACAATCCAAACACATTAGTTTTCTCCATAAATATTCAAGGGTTCGATCTTTGGCTTTGGGTATAGAACAACTTTAAATCTCCTAGCCAGTTGTCCCACTAAAAGAGGTGCTTATAATTCAAGGAGAGAAATAGTTATTATGTTTGACGGTAGAAACTTTTGATATACCCAAAAAAAATCTAAATATACATTATTTTAGGATATATGCGCATGGTTTATTCATTTGAACTCGTGCTAATTTATGGAAATATGACATCCTGTTGTTATGATTATTATTTAAAAATAGATAGCTATCCATTAATATTTTCGATGGACGAACGAAATTAATTCTAGTTTTTACAATGACTCTTACTCATCCCAAAGTGTGTAATATATAAATGTTTTGATCTTGTTACGGTACAAAGTCAACATTATCTCTATACTTTTTACTTTGATTTTTACAAGAAATTAAGATTGTGTCGATTGATCCTATAACTTTTTTTGAATATATATAAAGGAAATTTTTTTTATATATATATATTTTCACTTGGTTGGTGGAGGCAATAATGTGGAATACTATCTGTTAGTTTATAATGCAAGATAATCATTAAATTGATATGACTCAATGGAGTAACAACATGAGTTGTTATTTTCTATACAATTCCAGTTAAAATCAAGATAAACAGAACAATAGAACTCTATATATTGATATTGTTCATAGAGAAGATCCTAATCTAGAGGGCTACGCTCAAAACGTTTCACTAAAGATTAACATTTTTTTTTAAATAAACATAATGTGATTTAGAAAATTAAATCTACTACGTATTTAAATAATAACCTTGTAAAATAACATTATGAAAAACTTTTAGAATAGAATTTGAGCTAATTTTCTAAATTACACAAATTTTATACCTTCTTGGATTTCTTAGCACGATTTGTAATTGATCTTGACTAGAGCAATTTCTCCTAATAGGACTCATTTCTATATCCTTGTCTTGAAGTTTCTCTACATAATCTGATGATGAATTTGTATTCTGACTAAATCACTTTGGAAACTTGAAATTTTCTTCTTTTACACAACCTAGATTTATAGTCTTCCGTTATTAGAGAATACCTTCTAATTTGCACGGTCATGTCCAAAACATTTTTGCTAAAGATCAACCTTTATTTTTACAATACAAAATTTAATGATTTAAAAAACTAATTTTACCACATATTTAAATGCTAATCTTGTAAAACAACTTTATGAAAAAGATTTACGATACAATTTAAACTAATTTTCTCTTCTGTTGCACAAATTTTGTACCAACATGGATTTCTTAGCATGATTTGTACTAGAGCAGTTTCTCCTAATAGTATTAATGGAGTGAACGTCATATGGGGTCCTCTGAGTAAGGTGATTTTGTCACGTTTAGTCCTAAACTTTCAAATTGACCATCCGTGATTCTTTGACTTTCAAATTGTTATCATCCATTTGAAAGTCAAAAGACCACGGGTGATCAATTTGAAAGTTTAAGACTAAACTTGACAAAATCAATATACTCCGAAGACCCTAGATGGTATTAATTCAGTATTCATGTCTATCATTGTCTGAAATTATAGTTTCTCCATGCAATCTGCAGAATTTGTATTTTGATTAAATCACGTTTGAAACTTCAATTTTCTTCTTTTACACAGCCTCAGTTTATAATCTTCATAAATCCTTATTTTGTGGCTTTAATTTCCATGATCACAAATACTCCAAATAATCAAAAACCTCATATATATTATACCGCACGCAACGATATGCCACCTAATTGAAGTGATATATAATGTGTTGTTTCCCATTGACTTGGCTACTTAATTACTAAAGAGCATCAGCTAGCAATTGACTTTGATGCTTAATTGCTATACAGATAATGTTGTTTTTTTTTGTTTTGTTTTTTTTTTTTTAATTATTAGTAATAATAATAATTAATTATATTTACCTGCTACTTAGCTCAACATGCAAGGCATTAGGAGTGTATGTAGTGGAATATTGTACTAGAATAATGTACGGATACCAAATTAATTAAATAATTATTTTAGTGATGTAACGTTTTCCTTACGTATTATCATTATTATTATTATTAAGTTTATTATATAATAACAATAATATTTAAGTGGTGCAAATCAATAGGCTGACTAAGTATTAGAACTTAGTCAGCATTAGGTAATTAGTTACCTACATTGATGGGATGTAGGTTATTTAGACTCCCAAGTCTTCTCACTGCTCGGTTGACGTATCATACACCATCTAAAGTCACTGAGAGAAGTGAGAGAAACATAACTAAAACCTACGGAGATTTTACAGCAGCCCGAGGAACTTCTGCTCATCAGACCACGAGTCCCTGGTGATCAAGATCTAAAGCTATGGCTGGAGGTTGGTAATCTAAACTCTGTTTCAATAGCCACGTATCTATTAATTGTTACGTGGATTGTGTGCTTACATTTGGTATC